GCGCGCTCTCCACAGGGCGTTCTTCCACTCTTGCCTCCACCTTTCGGATGCGCGCTCGCTGCCGGGCGTTCTTCTGATCCATCTACCACCTCGGACGCGCGCTCTCCACAGGACGTTCTTCCAATCTTGCCTCCACCTTTCGGATGCGCGCTCGCTGCCGGGCGTTCTTCCAATCCGTCTGCCACCTCGGTTGCGCGCTCTCCACAGGGCGTTCTTCTGAGCTTCCTCCACCTTCGAATGCGCGCTCTTGCACAGGGCGTTCTTCGTTGGAACCGACTCACCAGCCGGCATTAAGCACCCGGGTCCTATCTGAATCACGTACACCCTCGCCTCTTCTTCTCTTTCCTGACCCCTCGTGCCTTCTGTTTCGCTGTTTCTTTTTCGCCGTCGTCTCCGTTCCCCGAGTCAGACCCCACAAAAGAAAAGGGGGACTCATCCAGACAACCATGACAATTTTTCCATCTCTCATTGCTACCGGCAATTTAACAGGGTCCCCTCGCTGTTAGGGAAACCTCGAATGGGCACCTGGCACACGGGGAAACAAACGAACTAAATAATGTTGTTGCAGATGCACACTGTGGTTGTTCGAAACGAATTTTGAGCCATTACTCGGGCCACGGCAGCCCCGGCAAATCATGCCACTATTCAAGTTCCTTTTCTTTTTCTTGTCTTTATAAAATCCGCTATAGAGGACAGGGACGATTTTGTTCCCCAGTAATATTTCGTTTTTTTTTCTTATCTTTCCTCCTTTCTTTCGTTCTTTGGTTATTATTAATTCTGTATCCTTGTTTTCGCGGTTGCTATATGGTAATTAAAATGGAGTACGATGATGATAGCAATGCAACTGAATCCCAGTGATTAATGGCACGCTACTGAGTACCCCCATACAAACCAATGCTTTCCACCCACGCGTAAAGCAAACGGGAGGAGGAATACTGCGCAACTCCGTGCAATTCCGTGTGTGCCAGAGCAGGACGCAGTTATTTACCCTCCCCACTAAATTAACCCACAATTTCCCACTTGTACGAATAACCTATTTAAACATGAGTGCCTTCCGCAGGGAGCCCGATTATGGGCCGGTCCTGCCGCTCGGGGCGGCAGCGCCAGTTACGGCGGCTGATTAAGGCGCACCACCAGGTGCGGGTGTTCGACCCACGGGTCTTTGAAGTCTATGCCCGTACACCCCCCGTGCCCGAGCCCCGGGAGACACCCCACCAGCAACCGCCTCCCCCGTATTCGTGTCGTCCACCCCCGCTGTCTCAACCTCCTCCCCCGTACCCTCAGCCTCCTCCTCCTCCGACGGGTCCCCTCCCGCGTGCCGAGGAAAAACCGACACCTCAGACACGACCACCCCCGCCAACCGCCACCGAGAGCTGCCCTAACCGGGTGTGGAACCCGCGGCCCCCAGTCACCCCTCCTCCGCGAGCACCGCTGGCCTCGCTCCCGGGCCCGGGACCGTCCCCTGTCTTGGGGAACCCGTCAATTGCCCGACCAGCCACCGCCCGCCCGCGGGTGGTCTCAGTGGAGCGAGTGCAGCGGAGGATAAAGGTTATTCTCCCACGCATCAACGCTCCACGGAAAGGCAGAAATATGCCTGCGCTATAAGGCCCCTACACGTATACACGCACCATGTACATACAAACAAGAATAAATTAATCATGCTAACCACACTCACACATACACTCATTCATACACCCACACGCACTCTAAAATTTAGATCTCCTCCTCCTTCTCTGCCTTTCCTCTTCTTGTCGGAGATTTTCTGACATCCCCGCCAAAAACTAAAAACCGCGGGTCGTAACAATATCATTACTTTTGTAGAGAAGATAGTTTTGTAGAGAATATACTTTTGCAAAAAAGATAGAGTAACAAAATATATTCGGTTGAATTGGAGCTTATACTTGGTGCTTTTTTTTACCTTTTTTTTAAAAAGGTAAGTTTTTATTCCTTTCACGTTAGTTCTGTCACATGTGACGTATTTGTGAAAGCCATAAAAAGCTCCGAAAACTAAAATTAGCGAGGAATTCTAATCGTAGAAAGAACATTTTCCACTCCTTTCGGCAGTGTCAAATCATGTGTTTTCCTGCATAATTAGGCTAACTTTGACGTTTACTGTAGAGTTGTTTATTAACTGCCAAGGGAAAAGGATTGTTTACGGAGTCTTTTGGAAGTGTGCTAAAACGAACTAAAGTGTACTTTTAGTCGAATATCTTTTTATTTGGAAATGCCACGCAAGAATTCTTAGCGTGTCATTTTTCGCCTCTGACGTCGAAATGCAATATGGCCGCAACGACAATCCAGGAGCCTTAGGCCCGGTCTACAATGAGTTGTTAGTCGTTAGTCAGAAGTCGGAACTATATGTCGGTCCTTTTTCTTCCATCCAGAAAGGAAAAGGATCAACATATAGTTGCGACTTCTGACTAACGACTCATTGTAGACCGGGCCTTATGGAAGTGAAAGTAGAGACTTCGCCCTTTAACATGAGCCAAGAAAAATTATCGTATAAATTTTTTCACGAAGTTATAGTATTTTGGTCAAAAATCGTTCAAAATGCTACAAAACGGCGAAAAAAAATCGTAGATCAATTTTCGACATCTCATTTTAAAGAGTAGGCTTCACTCTTCAAATTCATGCTAATGTGAGCCGCGAAATAAATTTTTGCAACTCTGTAGAGTCGTTTGAGTTCGCAAAATTTTCGAGGTTTAAATCCTTCTTTAAGTTTCCACCTCGCTACCTAGTGTAAAGGCAACTTCGAGGAAAATCAACTTATGGAAGCGAAAGTAGAGGCTTTGCCCTTTAAAATGAGTATAAAAAAATTGTACGAATTTATTTCACGAAGTTAAAACAGTTAAAAAATAGACAATTTTTCGGCAATATTTTAGTGATCCTTTAATTTTGCTGTTGAGTGTACTTCATATGATAATTAAGTACTTCAACTGCGAAAGAAGTTGTGAGTACGTCATCTAGCAGGACTTTATCTTTCAATTTGAGTATTTCCTTGGTAATTAAATTGCTTCACCTCCCCCCCCCATAAATGACAACGGTGAATAGTTGAATCTTCATTCTTTGAATAATGAATCGTAGAAGATCCATTTGACAGAAAATACCCTCAATATTATATGAACTTCAGCCACGCATTCTTCCTTATGAAATACATCCCGACTGGAAATCATCACCTTTACCTCCTTGTATCTCTGGAACCGTGCTCATCTTGAAATTTTACTGGGATTAATATTTCATCTATTAATAGTACTATTTGCCATGAAAGGAAGTTTGAAATTCGAGGTCTCAAAAATGGGTGAAATTTACCATCACTTTTTATATTTATTCAATTGAGAGAGGGAGAAAGCGTATACTTGCAAGTATGTATGCACATGGTGTCTATAGCGATCAGCTAATTTCTACAATAACTAGTAAACGTGAATCTGCTCTCCATAAAATCTTTATCACCTACCTTATTATTTCTTGATGTTTTCTGATACATGCTATTATATGAATTTCATGAGTAGCATGCTGTACTTCAGAAGCTAATATCTCAAGTTTAGCTGAAGAGTAAAATAAAATAACTGTAATCATGATATCTACACCAAAACAAAATACAGTGTGTGCAACTGCAAATATTTGCATAATGTAGAGAATAAATTTCTGAAATGGCGGTTTTGTTGAAAACGGATACCACACATCTATGGGAAATTCCAACGGTAAAAATAGAGGAGCGCAAATGACAGTAATTCCTGCTATTATAAAGGAAGTAGCAACCGTTGAAATAAATATGACGTAGCGATTTATATATTTCTGCAGAATAACTTTTTCGTAACTCTGTGAAACTCTTGCAAATTTCTCGATGCTAATCATCAAATTCTAAAATATATTTAGACAATTTATAACTCATAATATAAATTGAAGTAAAATATCAAATATGATTTAAATAGTAAAACTTTTGAAAAGAAAATTTAACTCTACTGACTTTGGCTGACAGATGCTTTAAGTTGTATAAGGTTTTAGCCGACACTCATTGTTTATAAATATTATTAATAAGTATCGCAAAAATCACATAGTTAAAAATTATATACCAAATACTTAAAAAAAAATTCGGAGAGGGGGAGAAAGATGGCCGAGTGAGAGGTAGCACAGAGAAAGGTGTCAAGAAAAAGGAGCGGAGAGAGACCATTGTTTGTGGTCCTTTTCAAGTGATCCAATAAAGAAATTACAAGTAAGTTTAAGTTATTTATTTATTCATTCGTGAATTCATTTATGTAACAACTTTTTATTGAAACTCCTTGTAATTTGTTTGTTAAAACACTTGAGAAGAACCACAATGGACGAAACGTCGTGATTTTGAACATGAAAATTTGCCAGAAATGGTCAAGCAATCCTCTGAAGTTTTATAACAATATATATTTGATATGTGTTAAATACGGAAATTACGTATTTGATATCAGGGTGAGGAAAAATAGCGGGACCACGAAATATTTGAAGCAAGGTTTACAATTACAATTAGTTAAATAAGAAATATTTTTAGAATAAATTGAATAAACATGTATCATTATAATAGTTTCTCGAAAATGTTGGAGGAACTATGATAATACTGCGCTTTTGAAACAGGGCCGTTCCTGAGACACGCCCCACTAGCGAGAAGTAAACTGACCGTTGCCGGAGTGCGCGCGGCAAGGGGACAAAATTTGTCTCAGAAATCCGGCCAGAAGGGCAAATAATTCCGAGCACTGGTCTAATTTATTAAAGAAGGGAAACAAGAATAAAAAAATTTTAATCGATCGTCCGTATCGTCCGTATCTGTTCCGCGTATTTTGTTGTTTCGCGTTCCGTTCCGTTCACGACTTCGATCCGTACTTCGTGCAATGTTCTATTCTGTCGTAATCGTTATCTCGTTGGCGTCCCGCATAACATACAATTCGCCGTATCCGCACTGTACATACCACCGCATTCGCATTCATATTCACATTATACATACCATCGCACTTACACTCTCATCTTGTAAATACTACATTTGTACAATTCTGTTAAATATACGCAATTGTCATCAATCACACGACCGAGTTAAGTGAATGAATCTAATGCTTTTGAATCTAACCCCTCGACCCAGCCACCGCACCGGCGAGCACCGTTCGCGAGGCCAACGGTTAGACCGTTTTAAAATAATTTCGAAGTGTTCTATATCATTTCTAGTATCACTGTTCCGTACTTCGTGGTTGAGTTATAGTGCGTGAAACCACCATATATCTTCTTATGTGATTTCTCGATTTTTCGAACATAATTCCATCATCGTGCGTCAATCAGTTCGTATTATAGGTAAGTTTTCACATATACAGGGTGTTATAAAAGTACCGGAACAGCAGAATAACTCGAAAACTGAGCCCAGCAGACAAAAATGTTTCAGGCAAAAGTTGTGTGGTTTCGAGGGTGGCATAAGATGGTACCATTGGTTTGACCTTGAAGAATTATTTGAAGGTCACATAAAGGTCACACCAATTTTTGTTAATGGCATTCCCTATTTTTTATTACATATTCTTGTAGCTGACCTCGAGAGCTTTCCAAAGCGCTATAATAAAGTATTTTTTTATTAAGAACTTTTTGAGTTATTAAGGTTTGAAAGCTCCAATATTTTGACATAAATACAAAATATCTTGTAAAATATTCATTTTTTTATCATCTTACCTTAATACTTTCTTGACCAGAATAATGAGACAAATCAACTGGTGTAAAGAAAACACACGATTGTTAAAAAAAATTTTTTTATTACTTCTTACAAAATTGTGTTTTCTTTACACCGGTTGTTGAGTTGTCTCATCATTCTGTTCAAGAAAGTATTAAGGTAAGATGATAAAAAAAAAGAATGTTTTACAAGATATTTTGTAATTTATGTCAAAATATTGGAACTTTCAAACCTTAGTAACTCAAAAAGTTCTTAATAAAATATACTTTATTATAGCGTTTTGGAAAGTCCTTGAGGTCAGCTACAAGAATATGTAATAAAAAATAGGGGATGCCATTCAAAAAAATTGGTGTGATCTTTATGTGACCTTCAAATAATTCTTCAAGGTCAAACCAATGGTACCATCTTATGCCACCCTCGAAACCATACAACTTTTGCCTGAAACATTTTTGTCTGCTGGGCTCAGTTTTCGAGTTATTCTGCTGTTCCGGTACTTTTATAATACCCTGTATGTATATACTATGCATTAATATTGCAGTAAAAATATATATTTCAAATATTTGTGAAGTGATCTATTATACAGGGTGGTCCACAACTTTCTGACCGGCGTTCACAGGAAAGTAGAGGGGACTAAGACAAACAGAAATGTCCTCTACCATTTTGCACTTGGAGAAATAGTTATCGAGATATTGATGTTCAAAAATCGCCATATTAGCCCGACCTACTGGCAAATGTAAGTGCATGGTCAGATGCGTCCGCCCATCGGCCGCCGCTCGAGGCGGTGCGCTGCCAGGAGTAGGGAGGCGCACCGCCCGTCCGCTGCTTACGCAACCGCTCGGCCCAAAGTTTGCATCACTGCCACTCGCACGCGACGACGCGTCTCCCTACTCCTCGCAGCGCACCGCTTCGAGCAGCGGCCAATGAGCGGACGCATCTCACCACACGCTTAAGCGGGGAGCACACATTTTTTCATAAGTGTATAAGCATAACGAATTTGATTGGTCCATTTCCTTATGCATTTGCTTATAGACCAATCAAATTCGTTATGTATATACTTATGCACTTATGCAAAAGTGTGTGCTGCCCGCTTTAGGATCAGAGCTCAAGGCAATGTAATAGTTTACGACAAAGACGTAAGCCTAAACGTAGATAGCGCTCAAGCTTTGGAGTATGTCGTGAATGTAACGTCCTCTATACATATATGTGTGTATACATATATATTTATTAATTTTATAATACTTATACAGGGTGT